GGCCGCGGCCCGGCGCTTACCTGTATCCTTCCCGCCGGCCTCACTCCCGGTGACGCGCGCGGGGGCATGGAAACTGGCAAGTCATGTTCAGTGCGGCTCTTCGCTTTAGCGGCTGCCGCCCCACCCCACCCCGACCTGAAGTTTTTCACGGTGTTCTCCTACTTGGTGACCTCTTCCCTGCCACCCGGTCCTCCCGCATCCATACCTGAACTTGGCCGTCACATTTTTGTGAATTTTTAAATGCGTCGGCCCTGAATGGGATGGGCGGAGATTCACCTTTTCGAATTTTAGTGTAATACTCTTTACTTTTATGGACTCTTGGTGCTTAGTCGAGTCTCTTAGGGAAATTGCACGGAGAGTGAAATATGGTGCTACCCTGCTTTAGTATTTGCCCCCCACCCCCACCCCCCCAGCTGCTGAGCCCAAGCACGTTCTCGTTTTGTTTCCTGTCTCTGCTCATTCTGTTGTTAAACAGGAAAGGAAAAGCAGAGGACCCAAACTTTGGCAATCTGGTTTATTTCTGATTTTTCCTTAAGAAATAGTTGATGTTGGTAACATAGTGGAAATGTCAGTAAGCTTTGCTTTTAAAGTATGTAAAGCATTTTTATTCTTCCAAAGAACGTTATGGTAATTTGAATTCAGCCTCTGTATTCTCAACGAACTTATGATGATGTTGTGTGTGGTCATCTCTGTTTTCCTCAGGGAATGTCTTCGCTTGGGTTCCCTCCACCGTCACCACCCTCTCACCCTTTCCTTAGCTCCGTGAATCCCAACTTCTTCTGGAATGTTTTTTATACTCTTACAATTTTAACAGCAAATCATCAGTTTTCACTGAGGGTCTCCTCTTTTGCAGACCTTGCCTTGGGTTCTAAGGACACAAATCTACTGGGGAAGGAAGATGGGTGTTAGTGCTCCATTAATGCCAAAACCTTCTCAGATAGCATCCCCAAGCTTCCTCCCTAGGTCTTTCCTTTGTCCGCCTGTACAGCAGCCTGCAATAGCAACTGCTAGCTCTGGTCATCTTGTCCTTTGTCTTAATGCTGCCACAAGCTGTCTTCTCAGAGACGTGAAGTAAATACTACTGTCTTATGAGTTTGACTCCTCATGCTTGACATTGTATTTCTTTCTTTTCTTTTTTTTTTCTTTTTTTTTTTTTTTTTTTTCCTTTTCCCGAGACAGGGTTTCTCTGTGAAGCTCTGACTGTCCTGGAACTCATTGGTAGACCAGGATGACCCCTGAACTCACAGAGATCTGCCTGCCTCTACCTCCCCGTTAAAGGCATGCGCCATCACCATCCTGCTGACACTGTATCTTCTTATACACTGAACTAACCTTAGTATATTGTCCCTAATTGTCTCTAGATCAGATACAAGAAAATGGCTCATTGACAAGGCATCTATAGCTTCTATTATTTTCATTAATGACATATCATTTTTATAATTTATGTAATAGGAATAGTGAACCAAGCAAGAATGAACAAGGAGATGAATTTTAAGAATACTGATGTAGTTCAAGCTCTAAGCAATTCAGAGTATTTGGAAGCAGTAGGAAGAGGGTATAGCTTTAATAGATCTTGCCTGGCAAGGAAACACATTGTATGACACTTGTGTTGATAACATATTGGAGAAAAACTAAACGGGGGGCGGGGGGGGGATGAATGCCCATAGTAGTCTTTGGTTTTTTTAATATTAACTATATAAAAATTACATCTTGGGGGTAGATTTTTAGGGGTAGTTGTTACGATGATGCCATCCACAGGGATCTTTGGGGAGAAAAGCTTTATTCACAAACATTGCAATTTTTTTAATTTCATATTGTAGACTAAAGGATCCATTGAAGCATTTAACTCATCTACTTCCTGTTACTAAAATCTTTCATTCCTTACATATATGCCCAAGAAGATACCTTAATAGTAACTATCCAAATATCTGATAATGAATAAAAACATGCATTTTCATTATCTAAGGTCATGATTTCTAAAGGCAATTTATTTTCCCCTCAGGAAAAGTCTGAGGGGATATGTGTGTGTGTGTGTGTGTGTGTGTGTGTGTGTGTGTGTGTGTGTGTGTGTGTGTATGATTTTTATATATATGATTTATAAATATATATATATAATTTGCTAATCTTTTACTAACACTAGTATATACACATATTAGTTGTCCCATGAAAGCATTATACTGTCATTACCATGAGGCTCTAATCAGACATTCTTGACACTTAGTAAAGATGTAAACTGTTGTCCTTAACTAAATGGCATCACTAGAGATATGAAAATCCATCTCGAGAAAAATTTAGAAGAAGAACGCCAGATTCTACTACAGCAACAAAAGATATGTCGGAATCGAGCACGTAAATATTTCATGGAGTCAAGCCGGAGAAGAAAGTAAGTCGTTGTATTTATTCAGAAGCACAGAGATTCAAAGTTATTCTAAATTCAGTTTCTCTCCTTGGAGGTGCTTCCTAGACTGGAGTCACGGTGGTGGTTTATTTATAGAACTAACGATAAGATTCTCCTGATTCTGCCTGCAGGACCAAGTCTGTTTTCTAGCTATTGATTATGACTCTCACAGTTTTTTCTGGTTACAGAACAGTTTGTTACACTGACAGAGATGTTTATTAAAATGTCTATGAAATGTAGTAACGCCTTTGGTTTTGTATCACATCACGATTAATTAAAAGATCAACAATTGTTTAACTTCAAATAGACTATAAATTAATTTTGATATACTTTTCAATTCATAGAATTTTTATGTGCTACCTTCCTCCGTTCAGTTATGAAAAGAGGGAAAAGATAAACACTGATAGAATGCCTTAAGTCAGATTTTATAAGTCATTGCCAAAAAAGCTCTCTGTGGAGACTATAAACTAGAAGGAAGTAAAATCAAAAGTATCTAACCATCTTATCACTTTTAGGATTTTAATTATTAAGTTTGTTTTGTTTTGTGTTTTGAAGATAAGGTTTCTCTGTGTAGTCCTGGCTGTCCTAGAACTGACTCTGTAAACTAGGCTGGCCTCTAACTCACAGTTTGAGATCTGCCTGCCTCTTCCTCCACAGAGTGCTGGGATTAAAGGTGTGCGCCACTACCACTGGCTTAAATTTTTAAAGATATAATTATTTTTATTTTAGATGTGTATGAATGTTTGCCCAAATATATGTAAGTGCACCACATACATGCCTGGCACTCACAAAGACCCGATAAACATGGCAGAGTCCCTGAAACTAAAGTTACAGATGGTTGTGGCCCACCATGTGGGTGCTCGGACCTGAACTCTTAAGTCCTCAGCTAGTGCTCTTAACTACTGAGCCATCTTTCCAGCACCTGATTATTAAAATTTTCATTAAACTTTTTAAGGCAAAGTGGTTATCCATTTTTTTTTAATTTTTATTAAAAGCCTGACCAATATTCCTGTAATCCATGGTAGTAGAAAATCCCTGGAGCTTATTAAATACATCATTGGGCATATGCTGCAAATCCCTTTGGGGGATACAAAATTGTTTACCTGTAATTTTTTTCCACCATTATATTCCTCTTGCGATTAATCCTTTCATTGTCCAGCAATATTGAAATTATTTAATGAAGTTTATTTTTATTTTGTTTGTACATTCCTGCTCTTCTGTTACCTTTTGTCTCCTGAAGATCGTACCAGGCACATGACAACTATCAGTAAAGATGATTATAGACTCTTATCTAGTTTATGCTGTCTACTCAAGTTGAAGTCAGAGAATTGTAGGTTTTTTCGTATTTAGTATTTTCCCTTCAGAAAAAGGAAAAACACCTGCCATTTTTTTTAGTATCTTTGGAAGTTATCTTTAATTGTTTAAAATGTTGTAGACTAAAATCTCTACGGTTTCATATTCTAGAAGATAAAAAGTAAAAGACATGATTCTTACCCTCAAATTGTTAATAATGCAGTAATGAAAGATGACAGTCAATAAATACTGTGGTTAAATCTCCTGTGAAGTAGAACAGAAGTAGAACATTTCATAGACTATGGGACAAGGAAGAGTCCCTGGAAGAATAGTTAGCCACACATTAGCCAAGGAACATGAAAGGAATCCTACTGTATGTAGCTAGAATAATGCAAGGAAAGTCTAATGTGAGAAAATATGGCAGAAAATATATGTAGGTGAGTACCAGATGACAGGAGATAATTTATGAAATAATATGTATACCAATCTAAAGAAATTTAAGAATTTGCCCTGTGCTAGATTATAAAGAAATTATCTTTAGAGTATAATAAAAAAGCAAAATTAGAGATGTTCCATGATCAAATAAAATATAGCTTAGTTCATTCTACCAAAGAAGCAGCAGATGAAAACCAAAACAAACAAACAAACAAAAACCAGACTTGAAATAAAAGTAGAGCAGCAAGCTGTTACACTGTCTCAGCAAGTGGATGAGCATGAGTATGGGTTCAGACCTGAGTAGATGATGTCAGGAGCCAAGAGCCAGTTATAAATGGTCATAAAGAGAATTGTCAGAATTCTTACAGATCAGGAAAACTGTAATGTTTTGATGTAAATCTTTCTAAAATAACTTCATATTTTAATGTTTTATATATACTGATAAAGGTAGTTTGATCTTGGACCTTAGACTTATGGGTATAGTGAGGATGAAATTACCTGTGTTGTTATATTACTGTATTGTTCTTGAGCTATTCTGCTTTACTGTCCTCTTCATGTCTTCAATTCTTTTAACTATTAACTGTTTGCACACTGATTTATTCAGTGTTTTTTTCATATGCACATGCAGTGTACAGATAACA